GCTGAGTTTCACCACACATCTCCATCCATGGATCTTCACCCCCCACCCCCTTTTCTTTCTAGGGTTTATGAATGGGGCCAGTTTTACTTAAAAAGAAATAAATATATTGGACTGTCAGTGTTACTTCAGAACTGTCATTCAGGTTTCTTTATGAGATTTGAGGTTCTGACGGCGATGAAGATATAGATGGTCTTCTGCCTTGTGACCACGTGCGGACTTGTAGACAGATACAAGAGTTTCGGAGAAACATAATGTTTCCATGTTCAGGGCTGAAGATAGAAATGTCCACACGATGTCATAGCCCAGAAGACAAACATCGACATTTTTCTTCTTAAACACAATAACGGTTTCTCTAAATACGAAATGATGCTACATTCATCGTGTTACCACGTGCATCCTGCTTTGTTTACATGCCGACGTTGCAACACGGCACAGGAAAACTGGTGTTGTGTTTGAGCTAACTCGGACCCAAACAACATCAGCTGCTAGAGCCGCCTCGCTTCCTTGTTCTCTGCAGAGAACAGAGAAAGGCTTGTGATCAACAATACGAGTCACTGTAAGCTGAATACATGTCCATAAGAAGTCTCCGAATCAACCTTGAAACGCGCGGAACCGAAATCCTACAGTGTCTATTACCTATTATCCTTATCTAGTGCCTACTTTTGCCGCAAACTCTGGGGTCCACCCAACGTTCTTTCCAATGGTTATCGGTGGATAATTTCCAAAATAAATCGGCCGGAGTATCATGCTGACCTCTGGCCTTTACGTAGTTCCGAAGTATAAAATGCGTGGAGCTTTGCCCCTTATCAGTCAATATAGTGGCTTGCTACGGACTGGACGACCTGGGTTCGATCCCCGACGGGGGCAGAGGATTTTTCCTCTAGCCTCTGCGTCCAGACCGTTTCTGGGGCCCACCCAGCCTCCTATCCAATGGAAACCGCGGTCTTTTCCCAGGGGTAAAGCACGGCCGGAGCGTGATGCTTACCACTCACCCCCTTCTAGTGCTGAGGTCAAGAATGAATTCTCTCCCCCCAAGCGCCTACATGGCGTATAGTGGGGCAGCTTTACTCTTTTTATGTTCGGGCACAGAATCTTGGCGCCTTGATCAGTACACAAAACAACATGGTGTCGTGAAAATGAGCAAAGTCTGAACGAGACGGGATGTAGTCGGTTCCAAAATTATGGTACCAAGAAGTTGTATACGATAGTAATATGACTGACTCACTAAAGGAAGGTTGAAATTTCGAATTCCAGGTAGGGAACGGTTATTCCGACATGAGTTCTATGAATTTTCTCAGCTTCTGCAGACAAACATGACAG